TCAAGTATATTTACTACACACTGCAAAACCATTTATATCAATGGCGCTACCGTCGTATATTTCCTGTCATTAGATATTATTCGTATTAAATATTTTTCTATTCACACAAGTAAACATTAGTTCTTTGCTACAATAATCTATTACTTAATTATATTTTAATATACACTAATAATACAAGTATCTTTTACAAGAAGCAATAGTTCTTCATAGCGTACCTCTACTTATATATCACCGAGTGTAGCTGAATCAGTTTAATCTGTCCTGACACATTTATCGTTCTAGTTCGTTCCGACTTTAAAAAATTTTCAGCATTTTAAAATTTAAACGCTTTGTTGTTTGCTTTTGTGTTTAAACATTTTGTTGTTTTTATTTCGTTTTCACAATTTAAAAATGTTTAAATGCGAACAGTGTCCGTCGGTTTTCACGCGTAAAGACAGTCTTCTCAGACATGTGAAAACTCATGATGAAAATAAACTACTGTGCAGTATTTGCAATAAAAAATGCTCTCGTCAAGATATTTTAAGCAGGCACATGAAAAACATTCATGGTATGTTTTTTTTTTTTTTTATTTCAAAATTCAATTTTATATTTATTTTACCAGCTGTTTGTCGCGTTGGACCACAACGAGGTAAAATGGAGATCGCCCCGAATGTTATAGTGCCGGATCAGCCAGCGGGCCTCTCAAGACAATCTCTGAATGTAAATAATATTCCGAACGATGATTTTAACGATGGGTACGATGAAATGTGCTTGGAAGTTCTAGAAAATGCTCAAGATGCCGGACTATACAAAGTGACAAGTAAAATTTTATATTATTGGCGCTAGATTTATATACATATACATATTTTTAAGTAGATTCTTACGTATATGACTTTGGTAGGAGGAAAGCGCGTACACGTAGAAAACACAGCTTCCCGTATTAAATCGAAAAAGGCTCATATGGATATGGTTAATATACCGGGTTTCGCTGAGGTTAAATCCGCACATAGTCGAAAAATTGTATGGTATTATGCTAAAAATCTGAATATTTTTAAAAATTATACTTCATTTTTCGGTAATTTAAAGCCTGAACTTGTCCGATTATTAAGAAGAATTGTAGTTGTTAATCATATCCCCCCACGCCGGTGACGTTGAGGAAATTCTCTGCGGCCCCCGCAATGACGGGTTGCCAGACGACCTGGCAGCGCGAAACAAAATACTCGATCAGGCGAGAACGAACCGCCGGGAATTTATCACCATGGTCGAATCGATCATGGCTGAAAAGGAGGAAGACGAACGGGACGAACAGCGATGAAGGACGGACCGAAGACGCCCTCCGCAGTCGCAACAGCGACACGTCGGAGGTGTCACCGACCACCGTTCCTTCATCCCCACCCCCTTGTGACACCACGGGAGGGTAAGGCGATCACTGCACCGCAGGACGAACGGGCACCCCAGGGCGGCGGACTTCGGTCGGCCCGCTAAGACCAGGATCAGAACAACCACACGCTAAAATGTAATGTAGATGTAATTGTATTAACTGTCATGTAAGGGGGGATAAGTCGGGGAATTGTTCCGTCTACCTCCCCCGTATATATAAAATTTTTGATTATTTCAATAAACGACGGCGGCGTAGCGGCAGTAATGCGAAAGCAATTCCCGCGGCGTCGTCGGTTCAAAACTGAAAAAAAAAAAAAAAAAAAAAAATTGTTAATCATATAAAATTTAATTTAAAACTTGAAGCCACATATAACCAACCACGAGTAGAAAATTCTTCACAAAATAGATCATTCAAGACATCGGCCCAAGAAATTTTTATCGATTCCGATATAGATTTACTAATAGAGCAGGCGTTCACTACATTATAACACGAGGAGGAAATTTATGTAGCAAAGGGTAGTGGTTATGTATTAGAATCTATCGATGGGCTTTTATTAACAGTATACAAGTATACGCCTATGGGAGATCCCCTAACATTGGCCTACCCGTTATTAATTTTGATTACGAACACGATGACGTGAATAACCACAATACTGATAACCATAATAATACTATTAACAATCCAGATATTCGGAATAACATCATTTTAAGCACGCAAAATAATAACCACCAAAATGAAAGCTAAAATCTTGATGATATTTTTAACACTGTAGCTGGATCATCCTATATCGAGCTTCCTCTTTCAATCAAAAATAAACGGGCAACGATCAATTCACAAAATAATAATCAACATTGTTTTAAATGGTACATTCTGGCGAGGCACGTGACAGGTCCAAATAAACACCGTCTAGGCGAAAATTATTATCAACATGAGAATAAATATAATTTCACAGGCTTCTCTAAAACATGTATTCGGATTTTGTGAAGATTATAAGAAATTATTACTCAATTGCAATCAGCAACTGATTTTAAATCGCGCATCTACCGACCTTGATTCGATACATGTTGTGGGCGAAGGCGCATCCGCCTCCATCGGTAAAAATAAAAAAATTACCAAAAAAATTACTCCCTAGAAATACTTCTCATTCGTGGACTGTTAAGTCTAGCAGTTTGCTCGAAAAACCAAGATTTGTGTTGTTTGGATTACAGACAAGTAAAAAAACAATATCGAAACTGACGCTGGGCGATTTGGATCATTGTCAACTGAAAAATCTTAAGGTACACTTAAACTCTGAAGTGTATCCATATGAAGACTTTCGAGCAGATTTTAAAAATAATACCATCAGCATACTCTACAAGGCTTATACAGACTTTCAAAAATCAAATTACGAAAGAAATTATAGCGAACCATTGTTATCAAAACATATTTTTCAAAACTATGTGCCAATCATCGTTGTTGATTTGTCGTATACGATAAAAAAAATTATTATTATTCATTATAGTAGTAATAATTAATATTTTACTGCTACTGGGCAATTTATAAAAACCAGAAGTCAAAATGAAATTATATCTCAATTTAAGGATATCTATAACGGTGATTATCGATAATAACTAATATGCAAAATGTACAATGGTGAATGGTCATAGGAATTGGACATTGGACCTATATAATCTGACAATCTGTGTATTATCTTAGATTTATTTTGACTTCTGGTTTTTATTGTTGGGTTTTATAAATTGCACAGTAGCAGTAAATTGAACGAATATTTAAATTTTAATATATCGCAAACCGATAACTTAAATAAAATACTGTAAACGTTAAATAAATTTTTTTCAATATGTTTCTGAATCAAATTTAAAATTTATTATTTTTCCTTGTATAAAATAAAAATAAAAAAAATTTATATCATACGTGTAGTACAAACGTCTATTAATTATATAAAAAATGAAAAGATAAAGATTAGATTTCGAGTTACATCATTTGTCAGAACTACGAGGGCGGACTGATAAGTAATGCCTCTTATCTCATAGTTATTTTTAGTTGTACGATAAAATTGTCATTTGTTGTCAATATAATAGTTTATGTCGTTGGTTTAGTGTGTGCGAAGACACGATAGTGTAATGTTAATATTTTATCATTTATGGAATCTATAATGACGGCCCCTTCAGATGTGCGATTCAAAAAGCGTGCTGTTACTGAATTTCTCGTTGCGAAAATGTGAAGCCAGTCGATATTCATAGACGTCTGCTTGCAGTTTATGGAAATCAAACTCTCGATGTAAGTTCTGTTTGTCGTTGAGCATTACGGGTTAAAGGTTCTGAAGTCGGAAAAGCGATTATTGCCGATCAGGATCGAAGTGAACGGCCGGTGACGGTTACTGATGAGGCCTATAAACAAAAAGTCGATAATTTGGTACAGGGAAATTGGAGGATTAAACAATCAGAAATAGCAATAGCGTTGGGAACATCTAAAGAACGTGTCCAACACATACTCTGCGAACTCGAATATCGAAAAATATGCGCAAGGTGGGTGCCCAAAATGCTGACAGAAGAAATGAAACAAAATCGCATAGAAATTTGCCGCCAACTTCTTTTGCGTTATGACCGTGAAAGAGATAATTTTTTAAATATTATTGTTACCGGAAATGAATCTTGGGTACATCATTATGACCCTGAAAATAAAAGACAGTCGATGGAATTTCGTCATAAGACTTCACCGGCACCAAAGAAGTTTAAAGTTCAAGCGTTAGCTGGGAAAGTGATGTTGACTGTGTTTTGGGATTCAAAAGGTGTGATCCACACTGAATACTTAGAGAAAGGATCAACAATAAATTCTATACGATGCATAGAGACACTAAAAAGGCTGAAAAAAAGGATGAAGCGTGTCAGACCAAATTTAACCCAACTTTTGCTTCATCACGACAACGCGAAACCTTATTGCAGCCGTGCCACAATGACAGCAATTGAATCACTGGGATTTCAAGTCATTCCACATCCACCCTACAGCCCGAATTTGGCACAATGTGATTTTTTTCTGTTTCCTAAGCTTAAAGAACATCTCGAGAGTACAAAATTCAATTCTGATAAGAAAGTTAAAGCTGAAGTTAAACGATGGTTCAATGCTCAACCCGTAAAATTTTATTTGGACGGCATTTCTAAGTTAGTAAATCGTTGGCAGAAATGTATCGCCTTAGAAGGTAGTTATGTTGAAAAATAATAGTATGTAAATAAAAATCATTCAATTTACTATACGTGTGTTTTTCATTAATATTATTCTATGAATAATACTTTTAAAACTACGCGTCAAGATGCATTACTTGTCAACCCACCCTCGTACGTGGGACACCTATATATATATATATATATATGTGTGTATAAAAAAAATATATATAATATAACCATACCGATAGCTGTTAACCGTAAGTTTCATTTATGTTTTTTTTTAGAAACATATCATACAAATTTGTGATTATGGACTTTGAATTTACGGTATTACAGGAAAATAAGCATGTTCTTATAAGCGGTTCGTTGTCCAACAGTTTGGATAGGTTTAAATTATAAAACATATAAACGTGCAAAACTGTTGACGGAATTAGATGATTTTGATGCAGATTTAGTACGCAGAACAGTGCATGATTTTTATGATAGAGGTGAGTATCCACCCAACAGCTTTAACAATTTTAACCGAAGTGAAGAAAAAGTGCGCTTGGGAAGCCTCTGTTTGGTCGATGCGTTCACTATTAAAAAATTTGAAATTTTCTTTCAAAAAGTGCAACGATGGTAGAAAATTTCTGATGAAAAGAAACGACATTGTCGAACTACGTGGTACATATTTAAGAAAAATATGTACGCTTCGCGAACAAAAAGATACCCGAACTGTTGTTTATTTAGACGAAACGTGGATAAACCAAAATCATAGTCAATCACGGATGTGGCAAAATGCAGAAGAGACCGCTGGACTAAAAGTTCCTACGGGCAAAGGAGGGCGTCTCATTATTTGCCACGCTGGATCTGCGAAGTATGGTTTTGTTAACGATTCAAAATTAATTTTTCGAGCTAATGTTAGCAACTTTGAAAGCGACTACCATACTTCTATGAATGCTGATGTGTTTAAAAATTGGTTTATTTCAATGTCTAACCACCTCGAAGAGCCGTCAGTCATCGTCATGGACAATGCGTCGTACCACTCAATGCTGATGGACAATTTTCCCAAAAGCAATAGCCGGAAAGCCGTTGTTGAAGAGTGGCTGAAAAATAAAAATGTTGATTTTTCTCCACAAGAACGGCTGTCCGAATTACGTGAGCGAGTAAAAAAACTGATTCCAAAGTATAAACGGTACGAGCTGGACGAGATAGCACTTCAAATGGGTCACGAAGTCATAAGGTTACCTCCCTACCATTGTCAGTACAACCCTATTGAGTTGATTTGGGCACAGGTTAAAGCGGAGGTAGCCAAAAATAACAACACATTCAAATTGGCAGATGTCGAAAAATTGGCGCACACGGCTATTGATGCAGTGACACAAAATGACTGGAAAAAATGTGTTGAACACGCGGAAAAAATTCAGAATGAAGACAACGAAAAGGAAATATTGAGGGATATCACATTGGAGCCAATTATCATCACATTAAAAGAGGACGACAGCGATTGGGGCGATGAAGAAAATGACGACGACATAATTGATGAAGAATGTTAGTTAAAATTATTTAAATGATGTACATATTTTATATAATTATTTTGAAAATATTTTTAATAATTTGTATTTTTTTATATGACTTGTACATACATTGTAATGAATAATTATTAAATGACATAATCATTATATTTTTATGAAAATATGTAAATACATTGCATTTAATAATTCAAAATACGCGCCTTTTTTTCACATTAGTTTGGAAAGCAATTACAGAAATTTGCCACCGGGAGCGTTCGCATCAGCGGCCACTTTTCATTCTCCCGACTTTAAAATCAAATTAATATATAATAATTGTGATGATAAGAGGGCGATACGAAAATACAAAATTCACACCCTAGCTTACGGGCAGTTTAGACTAGCATAAGTTTAAAAATAATTATATTTTAAATCTAGTATAAAGAACAATAAATGCCCCATCATAGAGATTTTAAGATTTGTAAACGTAATTATAACGGAAAACGATTAACATAAATAAATAAATAACACAAAACAAAACGTAACGTTTAAAAAAATATATGATACATAAATATATCATTAAATAAAACATAACGCAAAACAGTATATATTGTATTCAATTAAACGAAATAATTAATTTCCAATTATTTGATAATACTTAGTAGTTTTCAATTATTTATTCAATCCAAGAATTCTTTACGAACTATGTATTGTAATTTAATCTGTATCACATTTAATTAAATAAATAAAATAAAATAAAGTTATACAATACCTACTTAAAACTCAGAATAGGGAAATTATGTCCCTAAAAACCAGTCACCACAAACACCAGAAAACATGAAACACGACGCAAAAATGCATTTTCCATGCCACGAGATGTCAGAACAAGTAATACAGGAGTTCATTGGCCAAAGTTTACAGAAAAAAGAGCAAGATGTGAGGTGTGCAGTTCCAAATATGTGGAATCTAGACCATTTTCTGTGTGAAATCATTGTAAAGTGCATTTGTGTGTCAATGAGAAGAAAAACTGTTTTGCCGAATACCATGAGATGAATTAAATATAAAATTAATATTAATTTTTTTTATTATTTATAAATATTATTTTGTAAATAATGGTTTTATCAATAAATGTTATAAATTATGTTTATCAGGTTAAATCTTTTATTTATACTTAGGTATAATGTGTATTCATATTACAAATGTGCACTGTAGTAATAGAGAATATTTTATGCACATATTGTAAGATAATTATATTCGTGAAGGAGAAAAATATTCTATAATATGATGATTTTGAGTTATAGTTTTTTCCATAAACTTCAAATACGTTTAAAAACTTGTTTGAAATTTTAACTGTTTATATTTTTAAAAAATATAATTTAGAAATGTCCTTAATTTCATAATAAAAAATACATTGCTTATATGGGAAAAAAAATTGCTCTAAATGGCTGACGGGACTTTTAAGTCCAGACCGTAAATGACTGGCGGGACTCATAAGTCCCAGGACAAAAAAAGGATAATGGACTAAATTTTTATATATTTTCAAAATGTTTCCATTTTTAACATAGAAAAACATAAGGAATTGACAAAAATTTTTTTTAAGTTTTTTGGTTTTTCTAGGTTTGGTCTAGAAAGGGTTAACATATTTGCCTACCGTATTAATAATAACAATATATAAATCGTTTTTCGTAAACGATGATATAGCATTGAATTCAAATTTAACAACATCGATTACAGTGACCCATTTCTAATTTATGTACAGAAGACTGTCACCCTTTACCGACTTTATTATTTCAGTGTGTCATCTGGCACCAGAATAGTTATTATGCACAACAACACCATAACTCAAAATCCAGATGCTAAAATGGTTCATCTAAAAATATTATCAGAACAACTAGGAATTGGAATTGGAACTATTTATCAAACGATCTTGGAGTACAAACGGTCAAAACATTTCATCTCAATAGAACCAAAAAATTTAAAAATGTGAAGGATAAGGTAGATGATTTTGATAAATATGCAATAAGCGGAAGATACATAAATTTTGGTCTGATCGCGAGTTCCCAACATTAGACAAAATTCTTCAGTAATCAACGAAGATGAGGACTTACCCAATTTCTCTTGTACCTCACTGTATAGATTATTAAAATCTATGGACTTTGAGTACGTGAAGCAAGGTCGTAATAGCGCTTTAATAGAAGACTGAAATTGTTGATTGGCGAGGCGATATTTAAGGGCGATACGGCGATACCGAGAAGAGGGTCGACAATATATCTGGACGAAACTTGGGTCAATGCTGGTGACGTTCACACAAGGTTTGGTGCGATAAATCGATCAAATCAGCAGGGATGCAACTCAAAAGAGCCTTACAACCGGTGCAGTAAAACCAAGTGAAAGGAAGCGTCTTATTGTTTGCCATATAAGATCTGAAGATGGATTCGTCCCTGACAATTTGTTATGCTTTGAGTCTAAAACACTCAAGACTATCGATGAAATTAATGGTGAATGTTTCCGTGAATGGTTAGAAAGTGTTTTGCCTAGACTCAAAGATAACGCTGTTATTATTATGGATAACGCCCCTTATCACTCCGTAAAACAAGAAAAGTGCCCAAATTTGAATACGAGGAAAGCCGATATTATTGCGTGGCTCGAGAGCAAAGGAGAGGTTGTTGATAAGTCTATGGTTATTCGAGAACTAATTCCGATTGTCAATAGACTGAAGCCAATGCACAACAAATACGTGTTATAGTCGGGCTCACGAAAAGTGAGCGCTGGCGGCCGATGGGTGGTGCTCAAATTATGTCTGAGCCAGGGGTTCTCAGATTTTCTAGTATTGTTCTGTATTGCCGGGTGACGCTACGGTATGCGGTGCGTCTTATGGCATACTTCAAATACTTCGGCGGGAACGTATTCAATGAATTAACCTTTTATGTTAATAGCTGCCTGCAGCTGCCTTTCGGTAGAGATTGACCTCACATTTTGTATAACATTATTCATTATTCGTGAGCTCGTCTTGTTGAACGCACGTGCACAGTGAACAGTGAAATTTGTAATAGTGTGTTTTGATTTAAAACATTTCATTTTATAAACGTATATTTTGTTTTAAATTAATTTTGTTTTTGAATTCTTAAACATTAAAATGTCTTTTAAAATTAATGATACACGTAGTCAAACCAAAAAAGTTATTTTTCATGTATATAATTATTTCAAAGATCTAGCTAATTCGAATGATGAGGTTTTAAAAAAACATTTTATACAGACACAAAAAATAACTGCCGATGCTTGTGGTGTGTCTCTTATGACCGTAAGACGAGTTTGTGTAGAAGGATCTTCAACCAACAATAATCCGGATTCGCCACAACCAGGCCCATCATTTACTTCACCTAGAAAAACGTATAAACGTAAAAAGTATGCAACAGAACTGGACGATTTCGATAATGAGATAGTACGAAGAATCGTGCATGAATTTTACGAAAGAGGTGAATATCCTACATCAAAAAAAATTTTAAATTCTGCTCAACAAAAATTTAATTATAATGGTAGTCTCGCTTCAATGAAAAGATTGTTGATAAAATTAAAATTTTCGTACAAAAAAAGCAACGACGGACGAAAATTTTTAATGGAGCGGAACGATATTGTTGCTTTACGGTGTAAATTTTTGCGTACTATGTGTACACTTCGTAAAAATAACGATCCCCGTCCAGTCGTATATTTGGATGAGACTTGGGTGAATCAAAACCACTCTAGAAGTCATATATGGCAAAATGAGGAAAACACTGAAGGTTTTAAGGTACCTACCGGTAAGGGTGGTCGGCTCATTGTTTGTCATGCAGGTTCAAAATCACATGGATTTATAGAAGGGGCAAAAATGATTTTTCGGAGCAAATCAGGCAATATAGGAGATTACCATAGTCAAATGAATGCGGAAGTTTTTAGATCATGGTTTATAGAAATGTTGCAGTCTCTTGAAGAAGCGTGTGTTATCGTGATGGATAATGCTGCATACCACTCGATGTTAGTAGACAATTTTCCAAAAAGCAATGCCCGAAAATCCGATATTCAAGAATGGTTGACGAAAAAAAATATTAACTTTTCCAGTCTTGAAACTGTAGCTGAACTTCGTGAACGAGTAAAATTATTATAACCGACTCAGAAAAAATACGAGCTGGATGAATTGGCTCTTAAAATGGGACACGAAGTTGTACGGTTGCCACCCTACCATTGCCAATATAATCCCATAGAAATTATTTGGGCACAAGTTAAGCGCCAGGTGGCAACCAAAAATACAACATTTAAGATAGCTGATGTAGAAAAACTAATACACGAAGCCATCGATTCAGTGACAAAAGAAGATTGGATTAACTGCGTTCGTCATACTGAGAAAATACAAGAAGAAGATTACAAAAAAGAAATTCACAGAGAAGTTATTATAGAACCCATTATTCTAACAATTCTACCTGGTGAAAGCAGTACTGATGAAGATGAACTTTAACTATAAAATGTATGTAGGTACTTAATTTTTTTTTTACGTTTATAAATTGTAGTTACATTATTTTATAACAATTATATGATGTTTAATATTAGATATAATTTTGTAAGATACATATTTAAATAGTAACTGTAATTTATTTTTCTTAATCGTTAACATTTGTAAAAATATAACAAATTTTAATATGTATGTTGAATGATGATATAATAAAATACGTATATCAAATATTTAAAAAAACGCGCCAAATTGTTTTGGTTATCACTGATGTAAAACGGCCGTTGGAGATCGCTGTATTCAGCGCTCACTTTTCGTGAGCCCGACTATAGATGAAATGGTCAAGACACATAATAAAGATGTACTTCGTTTACCACCATATCATTGCGAGCTCAATCCGATTGAACTCGCATGGTCCAGTGTAAAAAATTATGTGAGAAAGAATAATACCACTTTCAAGCTGCAAGATGTCAAACGATTATTAATCGAAGGCGTTCAAAGGGTAGATTCTGAGACGTGGAAAAATTTTATTAAACATGTAGTTGACGAAGAAGACAAATTGTGG